AGGTGGAACTCTTCCGTATAGTTCGCGATCTATCCGGAATTGGTCTGGGTGAAGGGCCTCCCACTAGCATCTCACCTGACAAATTTGCAGTGTTTTTTAAATCTAAAGTGGAGGCCATCCACCGCGACCTCTCTCCTTTTTAAAATACAATGGATTGAGCAGAGATGTCCAGCACTCCGCCGTGCCCGGTGATTCTCAATTGCTTTCAGCCTGTGACAACAGATTTCGTGGACAAGGCACTTGATCGCTGTCGGGCCACCATCTCCTCTCTCGACCCTTGCCCGGCCTGGCTAATCAAAGCAGCCAGGCCTGTAACAACTGAATGGGCCACCACAATAATTAATGGGTCTCTTCAAGGAGACACTCATTAGGCCCATTAGGAAGAAACCAAATTTGGCGGTGGACAAAATTGGCAATTATAGGCCCGTCGCCAATGTTTCCTTCCTCAGCAAAGTGGTCAAGAGGGTGGTGGCAGACCAGCTTCAGGTGCTTTTGGACGAAACCAATGCTCTGGACCCATTTCAGTCAGGCTTCAGGCCGCGCTATGGCACAGAGATGGCACTGGTTGCACTGTTGGATAACCTGTTGAGGGAGGCCGATGGGGGCAACATGTCCTTGTTGGTCCTCCTCGATATCTCAGCCGCCTTTGATACCGTCGACCACGGTATCCTCCTGGGGAGGCTCTCCGAGTTGGGAATTGGTGGCCTGGCACTTGCCTGGCTCCGTTCCTTCTCAGAGGACCGTCCCCAGAGAGTACAGCTTGAGGAGAGTGTCTCGGCCCCATGGAGCCTCTACTGTGGGGTTCCGCAGGGGTCGATCATCTCTCCAATGCTGTTTAATATCTACATGAGGCCACTGGGTGAGGTCATCAGGGGGTGTTGGGCATTGTGACATCAGTACACTGATGACACACAGCTCTACATCTCCTTTTCACCTACCTCAGTGGATGCTGTTCTGTCCCTTCAGCACTGCCTGGAGACTGTACTGCAATGGATGCAGCTGAATGGGTTGAGGCTGAACCCGAACAAGACGGAGGTCTTGAGGGTGGCTGGCCGTTTCATTAGCGGTATAGGTGACTCCCTTTCTTTTGGGGGGATGACCCTTACCACAAAGAGTGAGGTCCGCAGCTTGGGGATACATCTGGACCTGGTGCTTACCATGGAAACCCAGGTGGCGTCCGTGGTCCGTTCCGCCTATTTTCATCTATGGCAAATTGCTTAGCTGTGACCATATCTTGATGGGAGGGGGCCCTCACTACTCTAGTCCATGCGCTAGTAATCTCGAGATTAGACCATTGTAATGCACTTTGGGGGCTGCCTTTGAGGTTGATGAGGCAACTTCAGGTGGTCCAGAATGCGGCAACCAGGCTTCTTAGTGGGGTGAGAAAATATCAGCATATCTCCCCCACTCTGGCTGCATTGCACTGGTTGCCCATCCATTTCCGCATTGACTTCAAAGTGCTAATGATTGCATACAAAGCGCTAAACGGTTTGGGACCTCAACATTTGGCAGATCGTCTTCTTCCACCTAGATCTACCTGAATCACCTGACATAGCCAGCAGGGGCGTCTGAGGGGCCTAACGCCGAGGGAGGCCTGGAAGGAAAAAACAAGAAACCGGGCCTTCTCGGTGGTGGCCCCTCAGCTGTGGAACACCCTCCCACCTGAAATTCGTCTGGCACCCTCGCTGGGCGTTTTCAAAAGCCAGTTAAAAACTTGGCTATTCAAAAGCCAGTTAAAACCTTGGCTACTCAAGCAGGCTTCCCTCCAGTCAATTAAGTGATTTCTATATATATTTCCCTCTTTTCTCCTCGAGTCATGCCATCTTGTTAGTGTGTTAATTTTATACATGTTATACTGCTCTGTTTTTGCCCATGTAAGCAGCCCTGAGTAGACATTGTCTAGAGGGGCGGGGTAAAAATCTAATAAGTAAGTAAGTAAGTAAGTAAGTAAGTAAGTAAGTAAGTAAGTAAGTAAATAAATAAATAAATAAATAAATAACTTGGAGCAGATGCATTCAAACACAGGATAGAGCTCACTGGAAAGCATCCTCTGTGACAGGGGTGGCAAAAAAAGAAGCTATTCTTCTCTGCCACCATTGCATCTGTGCAGAGCTATCCAGTGGAGCACTTTCAGGTGGTCAAGGACCTGTTGCACGCATGGCCATAAGAGGAGGACATTGACCACTCAACTCGCTGTGAAGAATTTGCATAGCACTCTACAAAGGAGGTCACTCACATCGTCTTAGATGCTAGTGCCGTCACAAGTCCTTTGATGTAACTTTGGCTCCTTTTTGTCCTGTTATAATGGATACAGTTCACTTGGTGCAGCCTGAGGTTGTGGATGGGATCTCTGGAAAGGTAAAAGCCACCACATGTGTACTGAACCCTTGCTCTTCTTGGCTTATAAAAGCAGCTGGGGGAAGGGAACTGGTTGAGTGGGTTACGGGAGTAGTGAATGCCTCCTTGCAGCAAGGCAAGGTGGCAGCATGCCTAAAGTAGTAAGAACTTTGTTTAACCTTGAATTCCATTCTATTGGATAATTATCAGCCAGTCTCCAATATTCCATCTTTGGGCAAAATTTTGGAGCATGTAATGGTGTTCCAGCTCCAGAGGTCCCTGGATGAAGTGGATTATGCAAAATTTTGGAGCATGTGATGGTGTTCCAGCTCCAGAGGTCCCAGGATGAAGTGGATTATTTATTTGTTTGTTTGTTTGTTTGATTTATATCCTGCCCATCTGGTATATTATCTAGATCCATTTCAATCTGTTTTCAGGCCTGGTTACAGAACAGGCTTGGGTAGCCTTGGTGGATTATCTGTGCCAGGAACTGGACAGGGGGAGTGTGTCCCAGTTGGTTCTGTGAGACTTTTTAGCAGCTTTAGATACCATCAACCATGGTATCTCTCTGGGATTCCTTTCTGGGATGGCTCTTGGAGGCACCTTTTTGGAGGGGTTCCAGTCCTTCCTAAATGTATGGAATAAAGAGGTTATGTACCTGTAACCATAGTTCTTCGAGTGGTCCTCTGTGAATTCACACATATGGGTCTTGTCTGTGCCTGCGCCGATGTTCTTAGAAGATTCTAGAGCTAAAAGTAACAATTTTATGGTGTGATTCCCCCACGAGGTGCATGCTCCTTCCACCCACCACTCCTCTCAGTTCCCAAATTTTGTCTGCCGGGCAAGGAACTGTGCAATAATTAAATTAAAATACCCATGACGGACAGAGGGGAGGATGGGTGCATAGTGTGAATTCACAGAGGACCACTCGAAGAACTATGGTTACAGGTAGGTAACCTCTTTCTTCTTCAGGGCCTCTGTGAATGCACACAAATGGGTGACTAGCAAGCTTCACTTACTGGTAGGTGGGACGTCACAGTAGAAAGATGTCAGCACAGTTTTTGCCAAATGAAGCATCACGGCACGCTCTGAAATCTAGTCAGTAGTGCTTCACAAAGGTCGATGCTGTGGATCATGTTACAGCACAACATATATCAGGGATCTCGGTTCCACGATGGAAGGCAACTGAAGTGGA